AAATATTTTAAATAATTAAAAAAGTAAATCAGAGACATATTTATAGTAATTATGCAGACAAATTTGCCTGCAAATCTTTACCAATTAAGGGATAGTATTGGTTATTGTTATGAAGAAGGAATTGGAGTTGAAAAGGATGAGCAAAAAACATTCGAATATTATAAAAAATCTGCAGATATAGGAAATGCTTTAGGAACAAATAGAGTTAGTTATTGCTATAATGAAGGGATTGGAGTCGAAAAGGATGAACATGAGGCATTTATTTATTATCAAAAATCTGCAGATTTGGGGAGTGCTCTTGGAACAAATAATGCTGGGTATTGTTATCTTAATGGAATTTGAGTCGAAAAGGATGAACATAAAGCATTCATTTGTTATAAAAAATCTGCAGATATGGAAGATCCTATCGGAACATTTAATGTTGGATATTGTTATCAAAATAGAATTGAAATTAAAAAGGATGAACATAAAGTATTTGATAAATATAAAAAGTCTGCAGATATGAGAGATTCTAACGGAGCATATAATGTCGGATATTGTTATCTTAATAGAATTGGAGGTGTCAAAGATGAAAATAATGCATTTATTTACTTTCAAAAATCTGCAGAAATGGGGAATGCTTTAGGAACAAATAATGTTGGTTATTGCTATGATGAAGGAATTGGAACAAAAAAGGATGAGCATAAGGCATTTACTTATTATCAAAAATCAGCAGATATGGGGAACGCTTTTGGAACAAATAATGTTGGATATTGTTATCTTAATGGAATTGAAGTCGGTAAGGACGAACATAAAGCATTCATTTATTATAAAAAATTTGCTGATATGAAGGATCCTATCGGAACATTTAATGTTACATATTGTTATCAAAATGGAATTGGAGTTGCAAAGAATGAACATGAGGCATTCGAATATTATCAAAAATCAGCAGAGATGGGGAACACTCTCGAAACCAATAGTGTTGGATATTGTTATCTTAATAGAATTGGAATCGGAAAAGACGAGCATGAAACATTCATTTATTGTAAAATATCTGCCGATATGAAGAATCCTATCAGAACATTTAATGTTGGATATTGTTATCAAAATGGAATTGGTGTTGCAAAAAACGAACATGAGGCAAATAAGAATAAGTTTTATGTAATAAGAAATGATGAACAAAGTATTGAATATAGTTTTGAAAAAACAAAAACTAAAGAACCAGTTAGCAAAAATAATGTGTATGAAAAACTCAAAAAAAGGAGAATTAATGTTTAGTCCTTATACTAAGTGGACAGTAAAAATTGAATCTATTGATGATGATGATGATTTTAGTAAATTAAAGACATTTGAGAAAGAAGTGAACCTAGAGTTGGTGGGATGTTGAAAGTATATAAAAACAAAAGTTAGCAATAGTCCGACTCTTGAGGTAGAAAAATACTATCAAAAGAATAAAGTTTTCAATGAAATATTGAATTAGATTATTATTTAAAGATTTTAAAACCTTAATAATTTTTGCAAAGTAATGATAATTAATGTTTTCTCACAAAATATTTTTATATCAAGATTTAAATTTAAAATTATTCTTATATATTCTGATGAAATTTTATAATTAAATATTAGCAATGTAGCATTATTAAAATTTATTTCAAATTGTAAAATTGATTAAACATTTCATTTTTATAAAACGTACCTGTGTTTCTACACCTATTATGCATTGGAGCATTTATTAATTTCCTCCACACTTTTCTATTGGTTAGAATCTTTTGTAATTATTTACATATCACAATTCTTTTTGAATGTGACATCTCAGTTATGTTTAATATTAAGTTTAATAGACTAAATTATACTAAAATTTTGCAAGAATTTTTTTGTTAGTACGCGAAAGAGATTATGTGATTTTTTTAGCTACTTGTTAATTTTCACGTTATACCAGATTTTATCCCATGACTGATTGGAATTGTGTGGAACTTAGTGAATGTTTTGTTGGACAGGACTAAAAAGCACTCATGCATTTTATGCCAATGAGTGATCTAATTTGCGAAAAGATGGATAATAAAATGATTTATATATACAAAATGAATATGCGTAAGCAGGAATTTTCATAAAGCCCTCACAAAAAATTTTCCACCCTATAATATTGGCCAATCGAATTTCAGGATCAGGTGTAACGTAAAAATCAAAACAAACTCACTTTTTTAAAAAGAAACAAAAATAACTTTAAATTTTAATTATGTACACTCTTCTACAGCCTAATAAAAATGTTTCTCGTAAAATTTTACTAATATAACAATCCAAACACTACACTGTTTTCACCTGAACCCTAATTATAATGCAGCTTTAATTTTATACGATAATTTTTACTTCAGTACTTAGAAAACAAAACTCGTTTGTTTTGACCATCAAGTTATACCTGATCTTGAATTTTGATTGGTTAAAATCACAGGGTGGAAATTTTTTGTGGGATAGCTTAGGGCTAGTGCATATCTGCAATTGCATAATATGCGCATAGCAGATGCGATTGCATAATTTGCATATCAGGGCCGATATCGCATAATTAATAGCACATAATCTGCGCATAAATCTAGAAAAAAATGTATATATGTTGTTGACTTGTCTCAGGTGTCGATCGGTCTAAGTTGGAGTAAGGTTAGGGTGAAAATAATGGAATAATTTAGGCCAGTTTATGTCGATCAGTTAATGCTAGCCAAAAAATCAACACCTGAGGCAAATCAACATCTGAGCCATAACATATATACCATTAAACACTTATATAGTTTTTAGGAGACATGATTTTTAAAATAACTTTCAAATTCCTGTTATTTCGAGAAATTGTAGGAGTTAAAGTTAGTTATCTAAAGATAGATAGATATATAAATAAGCTGGAAAAATTGTATAAACTACACCTTATTGTTAAGTAAAACGCACAAGAACTTTCTTGATATTTACTGTAAAATAAATAAAAGAAACTTAGAAACTTTTTTTTTTGATTTTTGTAAATCTTAGTTGTTGCATATTTCTGCATATTTCTACTTTGTTTGCATATTTTGTCGCATATTTTTAAAAATTTATTACATAATTTCACATAAATAGACGTGTAGTGCATACATAATTTGGGGTTTGTTGCCGCATAAAATGGAATGGACAGCCCTAGGATAGCTACCTACATTGATAAAAACATCATAGCAGAAGTTTGTTTTGATTGGTTGTTAAAATACCACAGAAAAATGTCGATCATACTTCGAATAGATTACCGTCTATACCCAGATAACTCATAAACTTTTAATACTCTCTAAAGATATTTCTATTGTATATTAATTCAGTTTAATAATAACTGTTTTAATAATTTAAATTTAATGAAGTAATATATCTGTATTATTTGTGTTATCAAAAGAAAGCCTAACAATTTAAATATAAACTAGGTTTAAATTGTCAGATTTTCTTTTACCAACACTCATTTATTTCACAATAAGAATATTATTTTACAAAAAATACTTTAATTCAGTTTCACGATACATTATGCATACCCAAACAATCCTAAACACTACCAATATTCCACTTTTTGTATCTATAAACACTATATTTACAAACTATATTCGTAGTCTAAATAAGTATAATAAAAAGTTTTAGAGTAGTAATTCAAATAGTATATTTTTTTATTTGTAAGATAAACAAGTTTAGTTAAGGCAAAATCTCTCAATTTCACTTACTATTTGCTTAGATCACCAAGCCACCTTCCCGACCTTTCAAAATATTTACTTCTCATCTAGTTTCTTGAACTTCCATATTTTACTGTATCTCTCATTAAAAAACAGTAGGTTTAAAGGTGAAAAATAGGTTGCTTAAGTTTGTTGTTTTGTCATATATTACAAAAAAATTTTTATATGGTATGATGATTTTTACTAATAAAGGTACTGTATAAATAAATGATCATCACCAATCATATTTAATCAAATTTTAGCCAATTAAAACGAACTTCTGCTATGCTGATAAAAACATGGTCTAGTTCTAAATTATGTTGTATGCAAATGTAAGGGGCCTAAGACAACTGACAATACAAGCAAATATTTTGTATACATTAAACGATATAATTAGAATTCTATAATTGCTTACAATATTCTTCTTTGTAGTTCCGGATTATTTCATTTGTCCATGTGTTTTAAGCAAATAAATAAACTAGGGATATTATCGTGCTTGTCCAGACTCAATTTGAGCCTGTTTGAAACCCAAACCTGTTAAACTCGAGTTTTATGATCATGTAATTTTAATTAGAAAATTTTAAACTCAGTACTGCTTATAGTGCTCAAATCGAGTTTGAAATTGATTTCTCAAGCAAAATGGTTATGATTTGTAATTAACTTTTTTTTTTTAATTAAAAGTTAATTTCCATGATATAATGACGTAATTTTTCGTATTATTGATTTTTAATTAAAAGCTAATTTCTAACGATATGTATTACGTACAATAAGCATTATGCAATT